AAATATAAAAATACAGATTAGGAGAAAACCCCAAAACATCTATAATCCTATTTCTCAGAGTTAATATTTTTAAATTAATAGCCTGAGTCTATATTTTCAAATCTTTTTTATGACATAAAAATGTGTTTCTCATTTTATTTTCATTCCTATTGATTTTTCTACCTATTTATTTGATGTGCATATGTATATATTATTTTTTGTCTTTTTATCAAAATAGGGTCTGTGTACTCTGCTTTGTATTTTTTAAAAAAAATATTAAACAGTCTTTTTAGTGTCGTAAAAAGGAGAATCATGTTTTAATTTTGTCTCATGAAACTTTGAAATGTAACCTCTGACACCTACATGCATTTGCTCTCCCAGCTAGCTGAAGAACGTATCGGAAACATAAGAACCGTTCGAGCTTTTAGCAAAGAAATGACTGAAATTGAGAAATACACCAGTCAAGTGGATCATGTGATGCAGCTGGCAAGGAGGGAGGCATTTGCTCGGGCTGGTTTCTTTGGAGCAGTAAGTATATCGTTTTAGAAAAAGTGAGAAGGCTTAGTTAGCGTTGTGGTTGCCACGTATTCTATGACCATAAACAGCAAGAGTGTTGTTCTATTCCAAGACTAAGAATTACTTTCTTGAACTATTTTTGTGAAGTAAAAGGAGTCTGAGGATGGGGGCAGTGGTTCTCAACGTGTGGCCCAGTTCTGTGAATTCCTGCAGTCGGGGTTTTAGACAACCCTCTTGGCAGCTGGTATCCATGAAAGGGTGAGAGCCACGAAAGAATAGCAGAAATATCCCCAGTAAGCTTCAAGAAGAAAATAGGAAACACTGTTTACAAGGAATTCAAATGTAGCACTTAACTAGAGAATCACCATGAGGACAAATTCATACCTATTCTGTTGCACTGAGAAGAACTACCTCAGAGCTGATTGGATAATTGTCATCAGTTAGTAGGTAAAGAAGCAGAGGCTCAGAGACGACGGTACTTGTGACAGACCTCACTTCTGCTGAAAGTAAAACCAAATTGTAGGAATGCTGTTTTAGCTTTGTGGCCCCAATGCCTTTGTTCAATATGTTTCACTAAAGTGTATCCATGACTGTAATAGATACTTGTTTCCTTTAGTTGGGGCCGAAATTGTTAAGATTTTGTCCCTTGCAAACTGAATAGATGGAGTGAGCTAGGAACATGATGGGTAACTGAGCCTCTATGTTTTCCTGAGGATGAGGTTAATTCCTTCAATAGTAAAACATTTCAGAAGGGTTTATTTGAAATTCAGACTGGATTTGATATTTCAGAAAGATTGTAAACGTTAAAAATCAACATTTTTAAAAGGCTGATTGATGCTTTTTGTCGTTTGACGCGTCCTCCCTGACCTCTGTTTTTCCTTCACCGCCAGGTGGGGCTCTCTGGAAACCTGATTGTGCTCTCTGTCCTCTACAAAGGAGGGCTGCTGATGGGCAGTGCCCACATGACCGTGGGTGAACTCTCGTCCTTCCTCATGTATGCTTTCTGGGTTGGATTAAGCATTGGAGGTATATAATTGAACTAGGCTTGGAAAGTTTCAAAATACAGTTGATGAAATAAACAACTTTCAACATTCATACTATTCTACTTCTCGACAATTAACTGCAACTGAAAAATTGCGCTCAAATGCTATTCCAGCTTAGTTTTTAAACAAATAAAAAATTATGAGTGTTATCCTCCCATGTAGTTAAGTAGCTTCTTAGTTGGAAAGTTGTAGATTTCAAGAACAGTTGCTGAACAGAAATGTACCAGCAAACCCAGGATCTATGACAGTGTTACGTTCATGATTGGCAAATCACCTGGGAATAAAATTTCATTCATATAAAGTCAACCAAGTTCAAAACTAACAAACAATAAAAGTGTTTCTAAATTACAAATTATAAGGTACATGACGCAGAGTTGATTGCTTTGGTCAGAAATCTGAATTTTAGCTTTTATTGTCCATTCCTGCATGAAGGGAGGCAAGACCCAGGGACGCAGAGTAATATGAGGTTTGAAGGTTGTTGAGTTGTTGTTTTTTTCCTGGACTTTTCTGCACCCTCTACCAATGCAGGGCAAATGATTGCCTACTTTTTGTTTTCCTGCCTCCTTTGGTAAATCACATGGGAGGGTTAAAGAAACAGCTTGATGCCTGACTGACAAAACTTCCGGGCATTATAGAGATTTTTATTGTAAGGTTTTCATGCCTACTTGTTGAATATAGAGGCTTTTTTAAGTCACTGCTAGCAAGTCAAAGTATTCCTGGAGTGAGATTTGCAAAGACCTATAAAAATAGCATTTTAGTTCTGGTGGCTAGTTTCAAAGAAAAAAACCTGCTTAAGGCATTCCAGGGTGCTGGGTTCAGTGAAGAGAGTTCTCAGTTCTCAGAACCTGCTGGAGGTGGAGTCCCAGAATGCACTGAGCTAGGGGGTCTCATACCCCTTTGTGGTTGGGCTCTGGAAAGCCCTGTCTCTTGTCCTGATTAGAGTGGACTGGCCCATCTCTATCACCTTACTTCCCACAGTCCACAACTCAGATTTCTTCCCTGGCCTCCCCTAATCTTTGTCTGCCATGTTAGACATTATCTTTTCTTAGTTACCCACTCTTTTGTTATATACTACAGTGGTTATGAATCGGGCTGCTAACCTCAAGGTCAGCAGTTTGAAACTGCCCGCAGTTCCGTGGGAGAAAGATGAGACTTTCTGCTCCCGTAAAGATTTATAGCCTCAGAAACCCTGTACAGGGTCTCTATGAGTCAGAACTGGCTCCACAGCACATGACCACCACCGCTTAACAGGATAGAAGCTATCTCTGTTTTTTTAAAATTCTACTGCCCTGCGTTTTTTCCTGACAAGTCCATAAATAGATCTTGTACAAAAATCTGTGGAAAGACACAACTTTCTTTCTTCCTAGTCAGCTTTCTCCCTTGTTTATGAAAGGTGCTACAAGGTTCTGTCCAGATGCCGAAATTAGGGAGTTTGGATTTCTTAACCACCACAGGTTACACCTCCCCTCTGGTCAGCTGACTTGTAACATGAATGCTTTCTGGAACAAGAAGGGAAGAATGGAAGTATGGATGCGTCCTTGGAGCTCAATTAGCATCACAGGGTTCTCTGCATTTATAACCTAGGCAGGTGCTTAAAGGTTATGAGCAGATGTTCTGACAGATTGAATTGGATTTCAAAAGGTTTTACAAAGCTCAGTATTTAGAGTAATTCTATAATGAGTCTACAAAAGAAGAAGTCCTTATTTTATTTACAGGCAGTACCCGGGTTACAAATGTCTGAAGTACAACCTGTAGTTGCCAGTCAGCCTACATAAAGCATATTGTGTTATATGGTTCATAATAACAAATGAGCACTGCTTTGTTAAAGATGTTTAGTGCATTATGTTAAAGATGTTTTAGTGTCTCTGGGAGTGTGTCTTTAATGTTTTTAATACAGAGAAAAGCACCCTATATGCTGAAGGACACATTTGACCAACCGTATCTGTTCTAACTCAGCATCGTCTCTCAGCTTGTCATACTGTGGTGGCTTGCATGTTACAGTGATGCTGGAAGCTAGAAGCTTGCCACTGGTACTTTTAGTACCTGCAGGGTACACCGTGGTGGACAGGTTTCAGCCGATCTTCCAGACTAAGACAGACTAGGAAGAAGGAGAGGCAGATGACTTCTGAATGTTTAGCCACCAAAAACCTTGTGAAAGTGGTGGGACACTGTCAGATAGCACCAGACTACACAGAGCCACTGCACCCCAAAGAAATGGTTGATGTTCATCTGTTCCAAGAGATGGCATCTGATCAAGAGCCAGTGATACAGAAGGAAGAAGTCCAAGGTGCACTGAAGACACTGGCAAAGAACAAGGCTCTGGGAACTGAAGTAAAATAAACTGAAATCTTGTAACAAACTGCTGTAGCATGGGAAGCACTCACTCATCTATGTCAAGACATTTGAAAACAGCTACCTGGCCAACTGATAGAAAGAGATCTATATTTGTGCCCATTCCAAAGAGAGGTGACCCAATGGAATGCGGACACCATCAGACAATATCATTAATATCACATGCAAATAAAATTTTGTTCAAGATAATTCACAAAGCTACTGCAACAGCGCACTGATGGGGAACTGCCAGAGGTTCAAGCCAGATTCAGATGAGGACATGGAACGAGAAATAATCACTGTTGACGTCAGATGGATCTTGGCTGAAAGCAGACAATACCAGAAAGATGTTTACCTGTGTTTTATTGAATGTGCAAAAACTTTCAACTGTGTGGATCATGACAAATTATGGACAACGTTGGGGAGAATGAGTATTCCAAAACACTTAATTGGGCTTATGAGGACCAAGAGGCAGTTGCTTTAACAGACCAAGGGGACACTGTTGTTCTTGTGTTGTTGTGAAGTGCTGTCGAGTCGGTTCTGATCCATAGCGACCCTGTATAGGGTTTCCAACGGGCAGCTGGTGAGCTCGAACCACCGACCTTGCAGTTCAAATGGCTTTGCAGTTTGGCGCATTAACCCACAGTGCCACAAGGGGACAGTGAATGGTTCTAAATCAGGAAAGGCGTGCGCCAGCCTTGTATTCTCTCATCATATTTATTCATTATGTATGCTGAGCAGATAATCTGAGAAGCTGAATTATTTGAAGAAAAACGTGGCATCAGGATTGGAGTAAGACTCATTAACAACCTGAGATATGTAGATGATACAATCTTGCTTCCTGAAAGAGGACTTAAAATACTTACTGATGAAGAGCAAATACAACAGTCAGAATGCTCCTTACAAGCTAGGATGGCATGAGTTCTTCTCCCATACCTTGGAGATATTATCAGGAGGGACCAGTCCCTGTAGAAAGACCTCAAGCTTGATAAAGTAGAGGATCGGCGACAAAGAGGAAGACCCCCAATGAGATGGATTGACATAGAGGCAGCAGGAATTGGCTGAATTTTAACAAGGAGTGGGAGGATGGTGCAGGACCAGACAGTGTTTTGTTCTGTTGTGCCAACATCTGTTATGACATATGTACAAATTCAATTCCAGGACAGGTTTAGGAATGGGATTCATTCATAATCCGGGGGCTGCCTGTATTAAAAACATTGACATTTTTATATATTGGTTTATTCTTAGAGTCGTACACTGAAAAAAAATTGTTTTTTGCCAAGAGCGTATTGGAAGTAGTATCTGAAGAAAAGCATGCTTGTTTATTGTGAATCACTGCATTCTCTTGTGGTTACCTCTTGGGCCCCAGTGAACTTTTAATTCAACCTGAATGTGTTGTATTCTACGCAAATAGCCAAATGCCATAGAAAGACTACCCGAATTGTATTTTTCTCTCATCCTTCCAAAGGAATAATGTTACAAATATGTGCTCTGTCGGTTGACAATGGACAATGGCTTGGTGTGGTTTTATATTGACTTATTAATTGAACCATAGTTCAAAGCTGACTTTCAGAACAGATGGCTGGAATGTTTATCATTACAAAATTCCTTCTCAGTTTTTTTGTCTATGTAAAGGAAATACTCTCTGGGGAATCTGAAGAGAGTTTTGCTTTTGTGGATATGTTCTTAAACGGATGTCAAGGTACTTTTTTTAAAAGGTTTTTATTGTGAATTGAATGATAGTTTACATGGGAGAACATCGGTTCTACACTCACCATTTCATTGCAATAATTATAATCTGCTCTGTGCATCATCATTCAACAATATTTGCTTCTATTCCCTCTGTGTTTTTGTTTTTGTTTTGAGGGGATGTACACAAAAACACTCAGAAATATAAAATCATTTAAACAACCAAAGGGCACATTTTGCAAGCCTGCCTCCTGGCCGCCAGGACACAGCCTTTCTCTTTCCACGAGTCTAGAGTCTCAAGGAGCCTTTTATTCCTTTTTACTATGGGATAAGCATTATACTTTATATATACTGTTATTTTTTTTTTTGACTTGGTGGACAAGCTGTAGCACTGTGATTTTAATTCAGTGGTTCATTACTTCACCTATATGTATTTGTAAATTTCCTGATTAAAAACGAAGTCCATATTAGAAACCAGTGAACTAGAAGGAGAGTCCAAAAGTTCTGAATATAGATTCCCATGTAGCTGTTTTAAATTCTTCCTGGAAAGCACTGGATTTTGCATTGGAAGGAAGTGATTGTTACCATACCCAGTGGAGCGTGGTATTTCCTGGTGTGCAGTGATATGTATGGCTTTTTCTATTTCTCCCCAGGCCTGAGCTCTTTCTATTCTGAGCTGATGAAAGGACTGGGTGCTGGAGGGCGCCTCTGGGAGCTCCTTGAGAGAAAGCCTGTGCTCCCTTTTAATGGTAGGTATACCATGGTGTCTTCTTTGCTGGGATGGATGTGGCTTTGGGAAATTAGACAACCGCTGTCTTCCAGGTGAAGAAACAACTACACAGGGCCGCTGGTGCATGTCCAATCTTGTCTTAGCTTGCAGTGGAGCAATGACGTGGCTATTCTTGTCCCAGTCAGCTTGGCCTCTGGCATCGCCTGTACTTTTCTAGCTGTTTTTTGTTTGTTTTAATTTTAAGTCTTCTTTCGTGTATTTCTCTCCTTTGTTATCAAATATAAAATTATTCCTAAATATTAGCTATATTGCTGTTGTTAAGTGCCGTCAAGTTGGTTCCAACCCATAGCGACCCTGTATAGGGTTTCCGAGGAGCGGCTGGTGAGCTTGACTCACCAGCCTTGCTGTTCAAATGACCTTGTAGTCCAGCGCATTAACCCACAGTGCCACACCAGGACGCCAATATTAGCTATGAGATACACTTTTATTAATTAGAGTGAATTGAACATCAGTTCCACTCTCATTACTTACTTCCAGTATGGAGTGTGCTGTGGAGCCGGAACCGACTCATAGTGACCCTGTACATGGTTTCTGAGCCTGTAAACCTTTTTACAGGAGCAGAAAACCTCATTTTTCTCCCGCGGAACAGCTGGTAGTTTTGAACGGCTGAACTTAAGGTTCACAGCCTGATTCATAACCACTACGCTACCAGAGCTCCTTGTTGTTGTTGTTGTGAAGTACCATTGAGTCAGTTCCGACCCATAGCAACCCTGTATAGGGTTTCCGAGGAGCAGCTGGTGACCTTGAACCGCTGACCATGTAGTTCAAGTGGCTTTGAAGTCTGGCCCGTTAACCCACAGCGCCACACCAGTGCTCCTTAGGGAAGGCTAGTTCAATAGGAAATGTAATGAAGGGACAGGGCAGAGAGGACTGTGTCACAAAAGCAAAGTCCACGAGCCATATCAGACAGGAGGGGAGTGGTCACAGTGGAAGGTCAACAGTGGATCATTACAGGGCCCAAGGATGTTTCTAGGAAGTATACGGTTGGTCCCTCATGGGCATCTCCCAGCAGATGATGTGTTAATCCCTGAGAGCAGAATATAGTCACAAATTTCTTCATGTGGGGTGGCCCACTCTCCCGGGCAACTTCAGTATTCACGGGTGTTACTGAGGGGGAGACAGGAGGTCCTAAAACCCACAGTTCTGTGTGGACGTGAGAACGTGTATTGGACAACCCTTTGAAATGCAGAGTCTGAAATGACTTTGAAAAAGCCCAGGGGTCTAGGTCTTTGTCAGCTCCCAGCTCCCACCCCACCACCCAGATCCCTGCATATGACTGCACTGACATTTCCAGAAGGGAATTTCTTCCTCACTTATGTGACCATATCACAGGGGTCCAGGGGTGGCGCTAGAGGCTAGTGTGCTGGCTTGCAATGTCAGTTTGAACCACAAGGTTGGTGGTTCAAACTCATCAGCTGCTCCTCCGAAACCCTCTACAGGGTCGCTATGGATCCAGACTGGCTCGATGGCACTTAACAAGCCCAGGCGAACTCACCAGATTTAGCTTCCCCTTGTTGTTGTTGTTAAGTGCCGTTGAGTCTCTTCTGACCCATGGCGACCCTGTATAGAGTTTCTGAGGAGCAGTTGGTGAGCCTGAACCACCAACCTTGCAGTGCAAATGGCTTTGCAGCCTGGCGCATTAACACACAGCGCCACACCAGCTTCCCTAGTGATATTGAAATTGGTGTAGGGTAGGGGAAGAAGGGGCAGAGATCATAGCTACACATTATGGGGTTGTTGTTGTTAAGTGCCGTCGAGTCGGTTCCGACCCGTAGTGACCCTGTATAGGGTTTCCAAGGAAATGCTGGTGATCTTGACCTGCGAACCTTGCAGTTCAAATGGCTTTGCAATCTGGCACATTAACTCACGGCGCCACACCAGCTTCCCTAGTGATATTGAAATTTGTGTAGGGTAGTAGGGTAGGGGAGGAAGGGGCAGAGATCATAGCTACACATTATGGGGTTGGATAAGGTACATGAGTACTAGTTAGCCAGAGCTAGTCCCTTTTTCATAACTACTTGCCTAGAAGCCAGTAAAAGTGGAGGTTCGGGGATTGGACCAACCTAGGAGCAGTGGTAGAGTACAGTAGGCACTATCCCTGTTAGTTATTGACCATTAGAACATGCTGCTTACCCTCCAAGTTTATATTCTCCAATGCAACAGGTTTTAGAAAATCAGCCCAACCGAGATATGTCAGGCAGCTTGTCGTGAGTTTTCTCCAGGACAGAGCAGATCTCGGCTTCCCCTAGTTCTGGAGCTGTGTGCAGCTCTCCCCTATATAGCATCATCTCTTCAAATGTTTATCGAGTGCATGATCTATGCTCAGGTGAACACTGGGCAAGGAATTCCATAGCAATGTGGTAAAGTGAAAAAATACCGGAGGGAGAAACCAGGCTGATACAAGACCAGACCTAACCCTACTACTTGTTTGCTTGAGCAAGTGGTTGAACCTCCAGGCCTCAGTACAATTGGAATATTGATTTATGGGCTGTCTTACATAGGAGATACAGAGCAGGGCCATCATAAACGTTTGCACATAGACCCACACCCCAACTTGCCCATTAAGAGCTCATGCTCAAGATCATTACCGTGGTGGAACACTCATCTATAGTCATAAACATGGCAGAATTGACTTCAGCTATGTGTTCGGTTTTTGTGTTTTGTTTTTTTTGCTTTAAGTAATAATCAATATTCTGTCTTTTGTTTCAGAGGGGATCAGTTTAAATGAGAAAGACTTCCAGGGCACTTTGGAATTTAAGAAAGTACAGTTTGCCTATCCAGCCCGGCCCGAAGTGCCCATATTCCAGGATTTCAGTCTCTTGATCCCATCAGGCTCTGTGACTGCACTCGTTGGCTCAAGTGGCTCTGGTAAATCAACTGTGGTCTCGCTCCTGCTGAGGCTTTACGACCCCATTTCAGGTAAGTGTTTAATCA